ACCGTGTGTTTTGGACTGCGTACACGATAGAGAAGTAGGTTATATGGCAGCCCCCTTGATTTCATCCGTGCTTACGATTTTGTAGGCGTGTCAGCATTCTTCACGGAAGACCAGTGTCCTTGTTAGACGCAGACGTCGATGCCCCATTTCCCACTGACTTTCAGGGCTTGACGCCATCGGGACATGTTTCGAACGATACGAACATGGTGACACTCATCAAGCTAACCCTCAAACTCGGAGAAGTCGCGAATGAAATGTATGTTTTGACTCCAAAGGGTACTTGAATATTGCTAACGCTAGTAGATCCGTCCTTCGCAAGTCCCGAAAGAACCAGCAACAAGATTGCTTGGAGAGGCTCCTGAATCTGCGGAAGAACCTAGTCGACTGGTGGGGAACGCTGCCCGAGGAAACCAACTGCAGGGATCTCAACCCAGCAGGGCCACTATTCCGCTCCAACGTGCACTTGAAGCTCGACTATTGTCTGACGCGTATCTTCCTGGGCCGGCCGTTCCTCTTCAGCACCAACCGGGCAGTCAGCTCCGCCACATTACCTGGTGCTCCGGTCAAGACACCATCAGGTCCCGCTAAGAACCGCTCCACATTGATCACGGATTGTGTAGAAGCCGCTCTCGAGATCATCGACCTATGTCGACTCCTTCGCGACGAGCGCGGTCTTGCCCGTGCATCCTTCACCGAGTTCAGCTCGTGTCGCGCTGCTTTACTCGTTATCCTAGCCCAAAGCTTGACCAAACGCACCGAGCGCCTCCGCGAAGCCTTGGACAAGGGCATGGCGTTGATCAAGATTATGTCCATGGGCGTTGGCTCTGCCCGCGCTGCAGTAAGCGTCATCGAAACGCTAGAGCGAGCGATCCGTCGTCTCGAAGAATACAGCCAGACCCAGCCCCAAGGCAGTACTGGTGTCATCGAATCAGCATACGACCGGTTCAAGAATTGGGAAATGCTATGGAAGACCGGGCCCATCTCCCCGGAAATCGTCCCATTCCAAGAGCAGCAATATCATCATACTAGCAACGGACTCGCCCCCGTTATGACCCCTATGACGGGTGGTGCATCCACTGCGAACGAGCCCGTGGAAGCCGATGTGGGCAGCGCGAGTCTTCCCGACTCATCGGAGTTTTCTGTTTCACATCCTTTATCGCAGATGCCGCACTTTGGCCTCGATCACTTTGTCTCTAATCTGCCCCAGGAGTTGGGAGAGTTTACGGCCATCCCTTGTTTTGAACCTGACGGCCAGCCGAGCCTTTCTGGGGAGATGAAATCGGCAGATACGCGGTGGATGAACTTCATGAATGATTAATTGCCTTAAGGCAAGTCAACTTTCGTTGTGATTGAATTCAGCGTTTCCGTTTGGCTTTTCACGGCTGTTATGTTGTGTTGCGTTGTTTATATGTTGATCCGTCTGTAAGAACCGGAGTTCAGTTTCAAAGATACCTAGACAGTATGTATATATTGTTTCACAACTACTAGTGGAAATAGCAGGACAATAAATCTTTCAGATAATATTTCAACCATGCTGATGATATAATAAGTATCTACAAATGCTCTACATACGGAAATAGGATATCTCCCACTAATCAAACGTAACCTTCTTACCCTGGAAAGCAGCAGTGGCCTTCTGCTCCTTCGCCTTCCTGGCCGCCTCCCACGACGGATGCAACGGCTTGTTATCTTCGGGCTTCTTCGCTGGCGGTCCACCACGCTGCGGCCGTCCAAACTGCTGGTGTTGCTGCTGCGGTCTCCCTCTATTACCATGATACTGTCCACCGCGTCCCCACCGCTCACCCCCGTCAGTCGCACCTCGCCTCACATCCCACCCACTATCACGTCCCCCTCCCTTCCGCTTATTCTTCTCCTGCTTAACATGATTCGCTCCGGCTCCGTACTTCTTCTCCCATAGCGCCCGACGCGCCTGCTGACCCATGCGGTTCTTGCGTCGAGGGGGCTCGTTCGCCGCCGCGCCGTCTTCTGCTTCATCTTCGGATCCGGACCAGTATCCGCCCATTGTGAGTGAGGGGAGGAAAGTCGTGCTGGTCGCGGGCGTGAAGGAGGCTTTGCTGGTTGCTTTAGGCTTTTTGCTGGGTGGGGAGGAGGGGGAGGGGGAGCGGGAAATGGACATGTTAGAGGGGATTTCTTGGTCGTCGTTGTCTGATGCTTCTTCTTCTTCCTCCTCGTCCTCCTCCTCTTCTTCTACGTCGTTGATCTCGTTCGGATCGAGATCTTCGTCGCCATCGGATCCGTCTTCGTTCTCGTCGCCGGAATCGGGCGCCAGGCGCGCGTCGAATTGTGCGTAGTCGATGCTTTCTGCGTCGGAGCCGGCGTCGTCCATGTTGATGTCTTCGTCGCCGCTTGGCGAGGCAGATGCGCTTGTCCGAGCTGTCTCGGCATCGGCCTTCTTCTTGCTGCTGCTGCTACTGCTGCCGCTGCTGCTCTTCTCTTCCTTGGAGGATTTCTTTTCATCCTTCTTCTTCTTCTTCACATCCGCAGGCTTATCCTCAATGCCCAATAACTTGCGTATGCCCTCCATAATCCCCGGAAACACATTCTTCACTGGCGTAGACTTATACAACCGCGCCGTGACGTTCGCTTCAGCTGTACTTTTCGGTCCCTCCGCGGATAACTTCTTCTTGTCTTTGAATTGGATGAAGAGCGGCGACTCGGCGATGCGTTTCGTCTTGAGGAGTTGCTTGAAGAGGTATTTCTCCGCGGTGGCGTGGGGGTCCAGTGTCTATTATCATTTTTAATTCAAATGTTAGTGTTAAAATCGAGACGTAGAGATTGTTGATATGTGAAAGGGATTGAGAGTGGACAGGTGATGGATGGATGTACCTTAACAACCTGAATCTCCTCCGCAATCCGACTCAACGTCCCCTCTTTCTTCTCTCCCTCTTCCTTCTGCGCCGTCTTCTCCCTCCGTCCGAGCTTCTGGCGCTCGAAGCCCCGCGCTACCTTGAGCGCTTTGGATAGCGTCATCACGCCATATTCGAATTTCTGGAATAGTCGGGTTACTTGCAAGGATTGGCTCCGGTCGTGCGGTGTGTATGGCGATTCGGAGAAGTCTGCGAAGTTGCGCTTCCCCATTTTGCTTTATTTGCTTTTTAGGCTTGGGATTTGTGAGGATGATGTGTGTAGTGGTTATGTGTTGATAAATGATGTAGTCGGTTTATATTCGCGGTGAGGGCAATATGCGGGGATATAATCTGGGTTATGGCTTCCAATGTTGATTTCAAGATTATGATAGATTGGAGTAGTTTTTCTTTCTGGTCAGGGAACTTTTTCTGCCGGTCGGAGGAAAGGGCGGTGCCAAGCGATGGAATGAGATGGCTTCGCCGCCTTTTGGTTCAAGTTTTGGGACGTGGACGGGGCGTTTTGCCGTTTTGGGTGTCTTATTTTTGGGGGATGGTTATTGGTCCGTTTCATGGTGGATGAATTCATTGGGGGTTTGTTGATTTTATCTTTTGATATGGGGTGGAATTGGTGTCAATTGGGTGTGGATGTGGTACTCTACAAAATTTTGATGAGGAAGTTTTCGAATTGTGTGCAATGTAAGGATATAATTTCATAATCTACGATATCATGGCGCGAGTCAACCTACTTGGAGAAATGGCGACCCACGTTAGAAGTTTGCGCGAAACCAACGTCAAATTCAACACACGGTATGTACATACAGAACCAGTAAGGAAAGATAATACGATTACATCTCCTCTATTTCTTTTCCTCCTCCTTCGGCTCCGGCTTGGGGGTGGGCAGCTTGAACTATATCATCAGTTAGCATCATCCTTATTATCGCACAACTTGATATATAAACATACCGACTCAGGAGTTCTGTCAGTACCCGCACTGACAGGCTCCCAGGCAGCAGTACCACCCTCGAAGTTCCGGAACGCCTGCGTAAGCTCCAGAGGCTCAATGACAATGCGCTTCTTCTCCTCACAGTAACGCAGCTCCGTGTATCCAGTCAAGGGGAAGTCCTTGCGCAGCGGGTGACCGTCGAAACCGTAGTCGGTCATGATACGGCGCAAATCGGGGTGGCCGGTGAAGAAGACACCGAACATGTCGTACACCTCACGCTCATACCAGAGAGCACCCTCGAACAGACCAGTAACACTGGGCACGGGGCTAGCCTCGTCGGCGTAGGTCTTGACACGGATACGCGAGTTGTAGCGAACGCTGAGCATGTTGTAGACGACCTCGAAGCGCTGGTCGCGGGTGGGGAAGTCGACACCGGTGATGTCCGAGATCTGGGTGTATTCGGCCGCGGTGTGGTATTTCAGGAAGGTCATGGTGGGGATCAGGCCGGAGGGAGGGACGTAGATGCAGAGCTCATCCTTCCACACGGAGAACTGCTGGACGTGCTTGGGCAGGCACGACATGATGTACTGGCCGTACTTGTGCAGACTGTCCGCCTTGTCCTGGTACTTGTCGGCCGGGTTGATGACGGGGGCGCGGAGAGGTCCAGAGGCTAAAGAATTGTGTTAGTGGTGTAGATCCTGCAGTGTCAATGGTCGAATCCGGGTGCCATTGGACATACGGGGACGCTGGGCCTGGCGCATGTTGGGAACATCCTCTGAGATAGGCGCGGTCGAGGCCTGAGTGGCCTTCAGAGCGGTCGTGGTGAAGGTACGGGTCGACCGGACGGCGGTGGCCAGGGAGCGGCCAGATCCCAGCCGCATCAAGGAGCGAGCAGAGGCCATGATGACGGACAATTGCGGGTGTGAGACGACGGGGAAGGTGGAGGGAGGGGAGAGCAGCGGAGGTTCCTCATCCAAGGAGCTTTTGCCGGTCCAGGCGAAGTTGTCGCGGTCACGTGAGAACTGCAAGTTTGGCTGCCGGAGATGACATAAGCGGCGCGGACAGCAACAGCAACATATGTACGCCTCAGGCTGCAAGGGCAGTCAAACAGTGCAAACCCGCGCAAACCCCATCAATCAAAGCTTCACTTCTCTTTCTCGCTCTTCGCCTCCAACTCTCCCTCTTCCTTTGCGTCTGTGTCCCTCCGTGCTCCTTCTTCTCGTCCTCCTCACCTTTACCCCACGTTTCTTCGATCTACCATCTTCTTCCTCCCTCGGACTCTTCTTTTCGTCCCTTTTCCTATCTTCCTCTCCTGTCTCGTTTGACCTTCTTTTTTTTTCTACCCGCTTTTCCTCGCCCTCTACCTGCTGCCCCCCTTCCGCCCGGGTTTGGTTGATGGGTGTTAGTCTTGGACTGTGATCGCCGTCTTGTCCAGTCGTCGTACCGTTGCACAGCTTCGTCACTCACAATGTCAAATCGCCAACAGATTGACTCCGTCATCGATGATGACGACGAGTTCTGGTGTGTCCGCTTCCCACTTTTCCTACCCGTCGGGTTGTCCTATGACTGGTCAGTTGGGCTGACATCTTCGTCTTCTTTAGCCCCCTTTGCATCGAAGAATTTGATCTTTCGGATAAGAACTTCAAGCCTTGCCCCTGTGGGTATCAGGTACGCATCCTTCTCGCCTTGTACTCCCTTGCGAATCAACGGCCCGATCAGGAGATCGCTCGCGTCGTATGCGATCCGGACCGTCGCTAACAGACCCCTCTAGATTTGTCAATTCTGCTACAACAACATCAAAACCCACAGCGAAGAAGGCCGGTGCCCCAACTGCCGACGGGTCTACGATGAGAGCACCATACAATACAAGGTTCCCGATGCCGACGAGTATGTGGTCACTCCTCGCTCTTGTTCCCACTCTCCCTTCCCGCGTCTTGGCGCTAACATAGCAACCCGCAATTTTAGATTCAAAGCCGACCTGGCCTTGAAACACCGCAAGGCTGCCGCCGCGAAGAAGAAGGAGGCCGAGAAACGTGAAATCGAGGCTTCCAGTCGCAAGAATCTTGCCGGTGTCCGCGTCGTGCAGAAGAACCTGGTTTACGTGATCGGTCTCAACCCCACGATACGTGACGAGAATCAACTCCTCCTGACTTTGCGCGGTCGAGACTACTTCGGTCAATACGGCGACATCGAGAAGATCGTCGTGAGCAAGGCAAAGCCTGGTGGCAACCCGAACCAGGGCATTGGTGTCTACGTCACGTACGCAAGGAAGGCCGACGCAGCCACTTGCATAGCAGCTGTGGATGGGTCAGCCAACGGTGACCGGGTGCTACGGTAGGTCGAATTGTCTACCTTCTGATGTTCTGTTCACAAAACAACGTACTGACCGCTCTAGTGCCCAATATGGTACGACCAAGTATTGTTCTTCCTTCCTGCGTAACGAGCAATGTCATAATCGAAACTGCACCTTCCTGCATGAGACTGGTGAGGACAGCGACAGTTACAGCCGGCAGGATCTCTCTTCGATGAACACCTTGTCGAGTCAGCGTATCAACGGTGCCCCCAGCGGTCCCACCCACTCGATCCCTCCGCACGTTGCCCGGTCCTCCGCTCAACCGATTTCGCAACCTATGCGCCGTCAGCCTAGTAGAGATGACGCTGCTGGTAGCCGGCCACCTGATGGGTCTGCCCTGCCATCGTCGGCAAGTTGGGCGAACAAGGACGCCGTGCTGAGCAGGACGAGACGAGCAAGTTTGACCGGCAGCCAAGCCTCGCAAAGTCCCCGACCCGCCATCGCCACGGTGTCGCCCGCGGTGGAGGAGGCGAAACGCGTGGAGAAGCAGTCTACAGATGCGCAGGAGCGTGCTCAGGCTCAGGCTCAGGCCCAGGCTCAGGCCCAGGCTCAGGCTCAGGCTCAGGCCCAGGCGCAGGCGCAACCGTCCCCCTCTTCTGAAGCACGATCCTCGCCGTCCAGTTCCCCCCCGACTGTCCAGACGCCACCTAAGCCGGAGACGCCTCTGTTGGATAACTTGGTCAAGGCTGTCAACTCCCCAGACTTCAAATTCATTTTCTCGGCGGCTGGTCTGCCTGCGGAGGAGGTTGCCCTTATTGAGAACCACCCTTCGTTCATCGATCCCTATGGTGGTGTGAAACGCCGAGCTATGCGTGAGAAGGCGGAGCAGGAACGTGTCCGGCGAGAGCAGGAACTACTGCAGTCTGCTGCTGCGGAAGAAGAGAGCCGTGAGAGCGGAAGCCTGCAGCTTGGTGGCGAGCCGGATGACGCAGTGCCTCCGAGAGGCCGTAGTGGTCGCGAATCTCATGGTGCTATTCAACCTCCCTCCCAGCAGGGCACGACGACAAACTCCGCGGTTGGCTCCCCCGTCTCGGCAACCAGTCACCAGTTCCAGCAACTTAACCTGGCAGGCCGTAGCTTGACCCCTCTGCAGCAACAGCAGTTGCTTCTCTTGAAGTCTGCCGGCAACCAACAGGCTGGCCTGGTTGATCAGCTGCAGGGTGGACTCAACTCCGCTGCTCTTGACCAAGCAGCCCAGGTCCGTCAGGGTCTACTCCAGAGCCAGATGGCACAGTTCAATGCTCTGCAGGCCCAAAGTCGCCAGAACTCTCGTTTCACCTTCGCCAATGAGGCCAATGCCAAGAACATCCCTAATGTCCGCATGTTGAGCCAAATGCAGGCTGGTACTCCTAACCCGCTCGCAGCCCCTAGTCCTCAGCATGGTCTTGCTGGCAACTACTTCACTAGTGGCGTGCAGGGTCCACCCCCCGGGTTGAAGACGGCGGGTACTCCGCCTATCAGCGGCGGCGGCATGTTCGCCCAGGGTCACGGTTTCACAACGAATGCCAATGTCGGTTTGGGATCCAACCTCGGAAAACAAGAAGCCAATCCAGAGTTGATGCGTGAGCTGCTGAGAGGCCGCAGTAGCGCAAATGCCGGTGGTTTGCAGGGTCAAGAGGCCGCTAAGCGTGAGTTCATGTTTCCTTTCCTCCAACAGCACCAAACTCCCCCTCCCCTGACTCCCGGCAATGGCCTTCTCAGCTCTTTCTATGGTGCTCAGGCGGGAAATTATTCCGAGTCTGGTCCACAGAAGCAGAAGAAGAAGGGGAAGAAGCACAGACACGCTAACACTTCCTCCGGTGGAGGCGGTGTAGTAGATCTTGCGGACCCGAGCATCCTACAGGCGAGGATGCACCAGGTTGGTGCGAATGCTGCCGCTGCTGCTGCTGCTGGGCAGGCGCTGTACGGGAGTCAGGGTCAAGGTGGGTACAATCAGGCCATGATGTATGGCAGCGGCTTCAACCGCTGGTGATTGTTTGCCCCCCTTTTTCATAATTCATTAATAACCCTCCCTCGCCTTTCACTTCTATCCCTGTTGTTTATGATGACTACCCTTTTTGCATTTTGTTTCTTTTTGCCCATGCTCCTTTTTCTGTCTCCCTTTTTATTTGATGACATGATATCATATTTCTCTAGATGGGCGTGGGATATGATTCTTATGTTTCAGTTTTCCGGACTCATTGATTCGATGTTGAAAACTTTGCGACATATTTCCACTCTGCAACGAAAGCATTAAGCAAACGGCTCTTGAAAACAACAAGAATTCGGGCTAGGCGTGCCTTTGGCGTTTATCTTCATGATTGTTTTTTTCTTGTTTTCATGTTTCTTTATTCTGCCACGTCATGTTTCTTTTTTGCGTTTTGTCTCCGGCTTCCGTGTGGATGGGAGGCGTCCTTGCACTTTATGGGCACATCGTGTCTTCTAGGTCCACTGCGCTTTGGTGGCTGTCGTATACTTTGTTCTTTTGCATCCAAGCTGGGTTGATCTATCAGCATCTTGGTGGCCCATTCGGTCTGGTCATGGCTTTATGTACGTTAACCTCCCTGCCCTGGCTTTCGATAAACACGAGCAGGGCCCTCTATGCGAAACCAATTTCTCACAATTATTGTTCTATAGACAATATGCCTTGTGTGTCCGTCTGGTTGCATCGGCCGGGACATTTGTGTAATTAATATGCCTGCCCTTCCGTACCTTTGTCGTCTCGTTTTGTTTCTAGGAGTCCACGGGCACGCCCTTTTTCTATCTGTTTCTGCTTGTCTCGTTGGGAGGGGTTCCTTTGCGTTATTCTTGTCATCCGCCTCACTCACACATCGTCTTGCAGACGTCAAGAAGCTAACAGCGCTTCTAGTGGACGAAGAATTCCCTCCTCTTGGAGCTCAGCCAAAGGACAAGCGTCCGGTTGACAGCTTTGGCTATCTCGTGCGCTCGCATTTCTCCAGTGACTCGCAAAGCTCGGCCCGTGCTGGAACCCCTACCCTGCCTCCGGGACTTCCTCTACCACACGCTCATCCCGCATCTGCCTTGTTTCAAAGTCCGCTCAATCCATCCAGTCCGGTCTCGTCGCCATCTGTGCCGCCAGGTCTTAATCCGCCTTTCCATAGGCTAGGCACGCCGGGCCAAGGACTACAGGAAGGCTCTCGCCAGGCCTCTCCGGACTTGAAGGACACTCCTGACAATGCTCCTACCTCAAGTCGCGTCAAGAATGCGTCCGAAATATCACTCGGTTCTCCTGTGCCAAAGTCAGCCAACAAGGCTCGCGCCCAGCAGAAAGGAGATTTGACGGTCGCTGCTGACAAGAAAGCTGGCTCTTCGAAGGCTGGAGACAACAATGAGAAAACCTCGGCGCCTACGGGCAAAGTTAAGCCCATAAAGCTGGAGCTTCCCTTGGGTACTTCTCAATCTCATGATGCTCCAAAGCCCGATACACCAAGTCAATCTCATGCTCATGGCCCGGTGCCCACTTCGACGATTGGTTCCCGTCCGAATACACCTTTGACTGGGGTCTCCCGTGTTTCCGACTCGTCCGCTCCCCGCCAACCTCGAGTTCTCCGTGTGGTTGACACGCCGAAGACTGAAACTCCGCCGCCCCCATCTGCCACCCAGTCTGTCGCGTCCATACCTGCTGCAGCAAAAGCGCGTTCCAGACGGCCAAGTATCTCGTCGCTCAGCAGGCCCGATACGCCCGGCGACCTGGGTTCGGAAGCCGATCTTTACACTTCGGCATCCGTGTCCCGTGCTAACTCTCCTCCGGCTTCGTCCAGAATTGGCTCTGCACCTGTCCGGGCGATGACCAAGAGCCAGGCTAAGAAGGAACGGCGACAGAAGGCCAAGGAACTGGAAGCCAAGAAACAAGAGGCCACTGCCGTCGTTGAGGAACCAGTGCAGGCCCCGATCATCGGTCGAAAGCGCAAGACCAAGAAGACTCCTGTTAGCTCGAACGACTCGCCTGCTACAGCTCCGGATAATACTGAGACTGGAAAGTCTGCCAACTCCGCAGGCTCCGATAGCAATGAGAAGACTGGCCAGCGGACAGAAGCGGCCAAGAAGAACAAATCGAATGAGAAGGCTACGAAGGACTCCAAGGCAACTGTTACCGAGGAGAAAGCTACGGCTGAACAGAAGGCACCTGCTGAAGCATGGCGTTCTAAGAACACGGTCGAGCAGCTGATGAAGGACGCCGAATCCAGCGGGGTCCCGGTCAAGGAGCTCTTCGCGGAACGTACGTCTCCGTTGCAGGTGCTTCTTGCTCAGCTTCACAAGTCTGCTGAATTAGATCTGAACAATCATCCCCTTTTCAATCCAGCCAACCTAAACCAGCGCTTCGACATGAAGTGCACTGCGGATGATTACGACATTCTCAAACAGCCCATCGAGTTGACCGACGAGCATCGCAAAGCATTGATGCGCGGAGAAGCCATCCGTGTTAACTCGGATTCGAACATGCTGAAAGACCGATGCTTGATCAGTCCCCGTGGGTGCGTCCTACACCATCTGTCGCCAGAGGAAGAAGAGCGGTACCTCGCGCTTGAGAAGAACATTGCCTGGGCAATTGATACCTTCCAGGAGTACTCGAACGTGCCAATTACGGAACCAGATGTGACCAATCGTGGTGGTGGCTTGGACGCACTGTTTGCTACCCCTGAGAACTTCAACATCTGCTGGGTCGACGAGACCTCGGCTGGCCTCACCTCTGGCTCTCCTACTGCCGGGATGTCCCTCTCTGACGCGAGTGGCTCCACTATTCCCGCGCCTCCCAACGTTTTGTCGGCCATGGAGGCGGACAGCACTCGCAGCCATAACTGGGCCATTGCCAACACCGCCGAGCTGGTCAATGCCACTGCCACCTCTGTACGATCCTTCGCTGCCGCTACTGCCAAGCACATGCTCGGTGCGGCGGGGGTGGTCATGGGCAACATCCCAGACCTGGACGATGTGGTTGGAATGACCAATGAGGAGCTGCGGTCGTTCGCGGTCAAGTCGCAGAAGGATCTCGAATCGTCTCGCAAGGAGCTAGACACGATCGACAAGAAGCTCAACGCTCTAGTGAAGCGGAACCGCAAGCTTGCACAGCAGGCTCTTGCGACTACCGTTGACGCGTGAACCCCCGTTCTGTCCCTATGACGACTGTATTTTAGTAGATCTCTTTCAGCATGTTTCCTGCTTTCTTTTTATGCTGGCTTACTACTACCCCTGTATTCTGAGCCTGGTCTCTGTTCATGCTGTATGATGCTTGTCTCCGTTATTAGACTTTACAGGGGAATACTCACGAATCAATGATAATACATTAGACTATACAGATCTTCAATTATATACTAGTAACTCTATCTACGCACTCTCATTAGGCCGGAAGACCACCTTCTCACCCGAAACCCCCTCCTTATTCGTCTTCAAAGCCTCTTCCACAGCCTCCAACCCACCAGGCACCACCCGCACACGATTCGGCACAAACAAGCCCTTCGCAATCCACCCATCCTCACCCCCGAGCGCCTTCACCATAGGCTCACTAATATGCCTCAACTTAGGCGAAGCCCCAATACCCAAAATCGGCCGAATCTCCACCTGATGCTCCCCCTCCTTGCCCAGCTCCTCCGCCTCCTTCTCCGCACCCAACACCGTAACCACCGCCTTCGCATTGTCCTTACTCTTCTTCGCAATCTCCACGCCCAACACCTGCGTCTCCTTCATCGAAATCGCATCATACACATAACAAATCGGCACCTCCCCAGCGGCATCCACAAAGTTCTGCGCCTTAGCAACCTTCCGATCCAGCACCACATGCGCCCCCAACCCCTCCAGATGCTCCTTATGCACAACACTCGCATTCGTGATAATCTTCGTGAACCCGCTCAACCTCGCAAACTGAATCGCATACTGTCCCACACTCGACGCTCCGCCCAGAATAGCAATCGCCTTGCCCTTGCCTGCCTCGGATCCGCCCTCAGCCCAAGGCGCAGGCGTGATCCCGTGCCCTGTGCTGTCGTACATACCCGTCACAACGGCCACACTGGCTAGACTGATTCCCGCGGCTTGCTCGTCAGAGATGTTCGAGGGGGTCTTGGAGACGAGTTCTGCTGGCATCACGCAGTATTGTTGGAAGGTCGACGCGGCGTAGTTGCCGATTATGCCTTGGAAGAAGACCCGGTCGCCGGGCGTGAAGGTCGAGACGTTGGGGCCTACGGCGGCGATGGTGCCCGAGGCGTCGGACCCGAGGATCGCCGGGTATTCGGTTAGGAAGAAGTTGTAGTCGCGCATTTTCCAGTCGACGGGGTTCACGGCCGTGGCGGTGATTTTGATTAGGACTTGGTTGGTCGAGGGGGTCGGGAGGGGTTTGGTGGTTAGGGTCGTGGGCGATTGGGGGGTGGGCACGGTGGCCGCGAGGTAGGTGGAGGGGAGGGACATATTGGTTGTTATTGTGCTGGTGGTGTAGTTCGTCGGTTGTTGGTGGTGGTGGTGGTCGAAGTGGTGTGGTTGGTGGGATTTGAAATAGAGTGCTGACGGGCGTCAGTGATATGGAGATCAGATTATAGCTCGTGAGGGGTAGGGTTAGGGGTACTTTAGTTTAGATGATGATGTTATATAGGAAGCCAGTGTCTGATTTGTAATGAGGTCATGGACATTAGTCATCGACTCCACTGGGGCTGTTGTTGATCTGCGTGGGCTTTGTTATGCGATGGATGTTATGGATAGAAGTATAGTGTCATTGAGCTGACGGCCAAGAGGAGGCTGTGAAGAGTATGAGCATACATCTGCATGCCACCAAATACGAATATGTCGTGTACATCTTGTAGAACTCAGTGGCATGACAGCTGAATTGCAGAAATGTGAGCCGAAGAGTAACCAGCACGTTTGAATGAGCGTTCAATACATGCAATCATTCTAACGATAATTCTAGCAACGTATTTTCTAGTAGTTTCCATTACAAGGTACTGATCTCTTGTGGAGTGGTGAGTGACACTGGTGCTCGGGTTTTAGTCTTGCGTCGGGATCTATAGCAAGCAGCTGCAGTCAGATAACGTCTTTCCTCTTTTGTTTAGGTTTCGCATATAAACCATGCAACCCAACATGGTCAGTGCAACAGTAGCATATTTATATTAATCGTATCAGATTAATAGCAATTGCTGCACTGACCTGCATCTTATTCAAGGGGAATGCAGATGTTGTTTTAACTTGTTGCCTAGGTTCTAGAGTCAGGGTTATTAGTACTGCTATTTGGAAATATATATTATTGCGTTGGTACTACCAGTTCATCCGCACGTCATGATATCTGCTACTCAGCTAGTACTATTGCAGAAGCAGTCTGTAGATTAAATTAGGAAAATCGTACCAGGAAATTAAGTACAAAAAGTGTCAATATCAGCGACTGGATCGATGATACTGGATAATGATAGGGGAATACAATCGATCTCTGACAGGCTTTCTCGGCCGATTCCTCTTTTGGCAGGTGTGGCTTGACGTGGAAGCTTAGCCGGTAACAAGCGGCATTTGTGGTAAATTACAGTACGATGTGTTACAAATTTACCGCCTAACCCGATATGGAATACACGCCCTAATTATGCCTGAGGCTAGCTGCAGTGTGGACAGGCCGATTCAGGCCATACCAGGGAAAAGGGAATTGTTTCTCGGTGTGATAGATAGACATACAAAGTAATGTTAAGAAGATAAGGGATGGAAAATTGAGCACTTGGAGACTAGGTACTATATGTGGAAAACTGGGGCAGGGGGCGTTTGTATTCCAGGTCTACAGGTCGCACATTCTTGTTGATCTAGAGAGAAAAGAGGAACTCCTATTCTCAGTAGTAGCCTGGCGAAAAGCTTGGCCATATCTCGAGACAATGTAGATACAAGGTAAGCATTTGAGAATTGTAAGTATTATAAAGAGAATCTGAAGTAATCATTCCTATAACTAATGATGTATGGAATGTTCTATCCTAGTCTATCACCCTGTTGCAACAGATTCAACTCCAAGTAGTGTCTGACAAGTCCTTGCGAGCCCTATCGCAGTTGGACAATCCAGCATGAGTATAGCAGAGACCAGCCACTCCCGACGCCCACAGCGCACCGGACTCCCACATAACGATAGCAAGATCCCACATCTCGAGGATCTTCTGATCCTGGGGGTAAGTCACCTGAGCAGCGAGGGTAGCTCCGACATATTCATTCTCGGAGGGTAAGGTATTACCCCCCCTGACGTAGGCGAGAACAGGCTTGACGAGAAGGTCAATGACAGCACGGGTCTCCGGCAAGGGCTTAGAGGCAATGAGGGCCTCAAGACGGGCCTCGGCGCTGGCAATGGCACGTTCACCACGCTCGACCTTGGTGCCATTTGCCCGGAAGTGCTCCAGGGGAGGTCGCTCATCAGGGACAATCGGAACAATGCCTGCATCGACAGGGAGATCAGTGCGACCGAGGAGGGTGACAGGGCGGTGGCGGCAGTTGGAGAGTTGCCACCAGTGGGTGAAGAGAAGGCAATTGGCTGCTGGGTTGTAGGGGTCGTTCTCCCGGTACCAGATCATAGCGCCTGTTATGCGGGCGTAAACCTCGGCCAAGGGGGCTTCCTCCAGGGAACCTCGTGTCAGCGAAGGGATGATGTTGCTGACTTCACCGCATGCTACATCCGCTCCGAGATCGATCCAGTCGTGTGCGACACAACCCAGACCGGCGATGGCGGCCATGTGCTCGCTACCACCTCCATCATAGTAGACGTGACAGAAGACTGCGTCAGCCAACTTGTACCGGGCCAGGCGGGCAAGGTCGTCCCACACAACGATGGTAGGACGAGAAGGAATTGGATGGGAGTCCTCAATGACGGTCTTCTGGCGCAGACAGGAGTAATTGCAGCCCTTAACGAGGCTGATGTCGGTAATGTGCGGGCCAGCATAGGCGGACTTTTCAGCAGCAGCAGCAGCATCGGCAAAAGCAATAGTGAGTTTGTCTGCCATGGCAGCGCTGTGGACACCAATGGAGTAATCCATGACAAAAGATGCGTCCATGGTTGACCACAAACCAGAGATGGAACCGCCGTAGACACCACGGTTGTAACCACTTGTCATGGCAAACACACTGGTGTTGAGGATGGGGCCCTGGCAGTCCTCCCCGGCAAACAGGTTGACTGCGGTTGGATCAGATGCGACAGCCACACCACTCAGCTTGGGTGCGAGAGGCTTGCGGGCAGAGCACCAACTGGGCATGTCGACTGGACGCACCTCGGCAAACTCGACACGCTCAGGAGCGCCGGTCGCGATTATTCTGTCGCGCGCCTCCAACAGAGTCGAGGCGTCTGCGAGCAAACCGGCGGCACAATCAACGGCATCTGCAACACGTGCGTTGCGCATCCATGAGACACTGGAGACAGCAGCCAGAACACCGTCCGTTCGAGGCGTATCCTGGCGGCGTGCCACGTTAACGGTTGTGGTGAGGGTGTCGGTTTCAGGGTCATACTGCTGAGAGAACTTGCTTGCTCCGGGTTCGGCAGGACCAATGCCGTGTGATTTGAGTGACCAGGCGTGAGCTCCTCGAGGGGAATCCATGTCCACTCCCTCTGCCGCGACATGGGCTGTACCCCAGGTAGAGGTAAGCCGGACGGTAGCAGCAGGGTCAGTAGCTGAGAGCTCGCCCGTGCGGTCAGCCCAGTGGGAGAAGACAGGAAGACAATCAAAAGCAGGCGAGCGACTGAGACCACCGGTGACAACCAGGCCCGGTACCAGGTCAGAAATGGGCTGCTTGGGGTTCCTGACAGGCATACGCTGTTTGATCTCCTCGGAGCGTGCGCGGAACTCGTCGACCTTGGCCTGGCTCTGGATGGCAGGCTCGCGCAACCGCATGCCCAAGCTAGTGGGCTTAGTGGCAACACTTTGAGCTCCAGATCTCAAGGGAGAGGCATTGGCTGGGTTGGAAACGAACTCGTTGATATCACGACAGGACATGCGCTCGAAGAAGAGAGGCTGATCCTCAGCTCGAGGGTCGACGAGACCACCCTTACGAGCAATATCGGGGAGGTCATTTGTTCGCGCAATGTATCCCATCTTAGGAAAGGGATGCTTGAGAGATGAAGTGGTCTCTCGGCGGCAAGGGTAGGGCAAGGAAAAATGAAAAGAGAGATCACAGGAAAAAAGAGGACGGAGAAATCGTTCTCTCAAATAGTTTCAAGACAATGACTTTTCCTTAAGCCAGATGTCTCTGAGATGTCTGGGTTGATTCCTATTCAAAGCCACAGCCATGGTTGGACTCTTTTATAGATCGAAGGAGGCTCGCCAAACAAAGGCCACAGCCGATTCAACCGTTCAGCCCATCCTTCCGTGCAGCCAGCCGTTCAGCCCAGACACGGGCCAGCCTGTGAGCCATGATTCAAGAACCACTTCAGCCAGCCACCAGTGCCCCGAGACAAGCAGGTCAAGCATAAGTGTGAACTTTAATCAATGACAGACTCCTTGGGTTTTTCTGGTGGGGTTTTCTCGATTAATTTCCGGTCAACAAACCCCCTATATTAAACATTGTGCTATAAAATGGCCACTCTACAGAAGGAAATAGAAATGAAAACCAAATAAGTAAATGAATAAATCAAAATAGAAAAAAGGAAAATATACACAAATCATGTCAACATTGTCTCCCTATAAGAGATGTATGGGGCACCGCATGTAACCCTTCTCCACCACGGTGTTTCCGATCGAACCAAATGCATCGGAAACCTCTCCCTCGACCGGCAGTGAGCAGCTCCACCCGTGATGTGCTGGTATGTTGCTATCTCCACCTGCTTTGACAGACTGAGCATAGCGCTGCAACACTTGAAACCGCAACGCCACTCTACAGTCTTTGCCCCTCTTCTGCAGGCTGTCATATCTTCTCCCTTGTCGACGCCTATTCGATTCACTTCCGAAAATCGCTAAGTTCCAGAACAAAGACACCTATCGTGAATATGAGCAAACCCTCGTGCTCCGCTCATCAGACCACTTAGAAGCTTGGATCTCGATTGAAATTCGTTCAGAATCTTGCCTAGTCACCCCCTGCTGTCTTGTTTGTATTGGCCATTTGGCACAGCCCCCTTCCCTTCTCATAGCCCCGCAGGGCAAGATTTCCCCATTCCATCCTCCTTGAGTAGATCTGCAGTAATTACAGTTGTCTTTGAAGTGGCCCCCTTTCACGCAGCATGGTCCAGGCGCTTCTGCAAATGAAAACTCTGCTGAGCATCGTAGGAGATTATCTGATCGTCTGTATAGCCTGTCACAGGTGTCTCGTTCACGCCACTCAAAGCTGAAGCTGAAAAAGACCCACCAGCTGAAAAGGAACTAGCCGTGCAACTCTTTGACATATCACATTTTTTTACCCTCTCTCCCTTTTCCGACTTTTTCTGAACGTGCATCAGCTTCGTGTTGTGCTCTACACCGGAAATTGGCCAAGGGCTTATCGTAGACAATATCCCCCCTAGCTATCAAACCAGTCGTACGCTT